CCCCCCCCCGCCCGCATTGGCAGAGCTAGCGGACAGCCCAGGCGGCTTCCCCCGTCTGATCAAGCGCGTCGTGCCGCACACAATCGCAGGGGTCGTGCCCCGAGGCCAGAGCTCCTTCTGCACGGCTTCCCAACGAAGGTGGCCTCGAGCGTCACAGGAGCCGGATACGCGTAACCGGATATCCCGGAAACCTCGCTGGTCATGTCAAAGGACTCAAGAAAATGGCGGCTCTGGACGCGTTGGCGGAGGACTCGGAGATCGTTGAATTGCTTTCAACGCTGTTCAACAACGAATACATGCAAGGCGCGAACGGCGGTGCTGCTGCGGCCACGAATGAGCGCGATCCATCGGTGGGGGCACAGCCACCTGCGCTGCCAGCGCCGTCGACGACCAGAAGAAAACTGTGCAAAGAAGAGGGATGTATGCGCAAGAACGTGAGCAAGGGCTTTTGCATTCGCCATGGGGTACGCACCATTCTCGTCATTGCAAAGGCCGCGGACGAGTTTGACGCAGGGGGGAAAGCGGTGCCAAGTGGAGTCGTGCGACAAAGGGGCTAAGCAACATGGAGTGTGTTGGAAACATGGTGCGAGGACGCGTGAAAGGACGTGGCACCTGATGCAACGAGGGATGTTTTTGTAGGAGCGTCCCGAGAATGTGAGTTAGAAGGATGCTCAAACCATTCCAAGGCGCGGGGCCTGTGCTGGTCCCACGGAGGGGGCAAGCCATGCTCGACCAAGGATTGTAGTCGCACAGCACTTCAAGGAGGGCGCTGTTGGGCCCACGGTGGAGGTACATTCGACTTGGACACGATGAAAAAGTGGTGTATCCGTGGCTGACTGGCATTGTCACCCGTGCCAACCTGGACTAGGAAAGCGCTGCAGGCGCGAGGGCTGCCTTCGACCAGCGTTCGAGCGCAACGGCAACTACTGCGCATCGCATAGCCATGCATGACTCGAGCCTAACTCAACCACACTCTATTTTACGACCTGTGTGTGGATGGATCGGATCGAATGCGGTGCAATCAAACATGCATTTGCGAGAGGCATTGCCAACGTTGTGGCGTCATGCATGTTGCCGGAACGGAAGCACATGGCGCTGGCTGGCGTGACTGGTAGTTGGTACAATGTACATGACGCCGTGGTACACGTAGGTCCAACACCGGTCGTGGCATATCCTGGCGACAGCAGATCGCACGAGGTGGCACAGAATTGTCCTTCACAGAGCGGACGAGGTGGCTGCGACAAAGTTGAAGCTACTTACCCTGGCAATGGACGGCGGCCCCATTCCACTGACCAGCACAACTCTGCTCCAACTCGCAAGCACATCGTCCAAGCGCTGTCCTGATGCACGGCCACCCACGCAGCGCACGGTCCATGCGAGAGCGGCGCGGCGCCTTCTTGCGGTGTCCATGCAGAAAAAGGCTGGTCACTGTGGTATCTTGCGTCACATGACGTTCTCACAAACATCAAGTCGTTATGGACGATCGGGGTACGCTGTTCTGATTGGCCACAGCAAGATATCGTGCAATTTGATTGGATAACCCTTGCATGTCACAACAATGCGATAAAATGGCATTCGCGTAGACGACGGATGGAACGGCTGCGACAATGTCACGTTGCGTGGGGGGGGGACCACCGGAAGCACCAAGGTAAGGAGCGGGCGACGGCCCTGGGGCAAGAACGGGGGCGGTGGCCCAGTGTGCCAACCTCTTGACTTGCCATGCTAACCTACGACAGGACGTGTTGGATTCGGTTGGAGTCGGCTGTGACGTCGCCGGAGTGGAGTCCAATTGAACGTCGCTCTGTCCGTCAAACCGACGCCCCTCGCCATCGTCTGCGCCAAGCAACGCATTTGCGTGAACCGCGATGCTCTACACCAAGGCGTACGAATCCCAAGCGCGTTGAGGTTCATGAAGAGTGCGAGAGCGACCAG